TACAACACAGAATGAAGCCATTCAGCCATCGTATCTATGCTAACTATTTGAAAGAGCCATCTAGATAATCCCACTTCTCCCTCTTTCCTCATAACTTTCCAATATATTTCATCATGAAGCATTTATCAAATTTCCTTTTGAAATTCTTTCCAGAGTCTCTCATTCAGACAATGCATTCCAGATCATAGCAAATCATTAGGTAGAAAAAAAAATCCTTACTTTCCCTCTGGTTCTTCATTTAAAATTGAGATCTTCTGATTATTGACCATGTCCCAACAACCACCATCCCAATCGCCTCTTCTCATTTTCTCCATCACTACCCTCCAACAACTTGAAACCTTTGAAATGTAGTTGGGGAGCCTCTAGCTGCACTGCTGGCTCTGTTTTAAATGGTATTGAGCTGTACTTTACAGCTTCGGATGCTGCAGGGACTTTCTCCAGGTCCAGACGGTGTGAGATGACCTCAGCCTGGAAGGTGAGGCATGTTCACCAACTGTCTCCATGCCTAAGGTTAGGCTGTTCCTGCTCCTATTCACCATCTACTGGCTCCTGCTGAGAAATATATTCATGGAGACCACAAGATCTTCCATTCTTAAACATATTGTTGATTATCATTCATTGAGAACAAAAGGAATAATGCCTCTTCTTCCTTAGGAGGCTAAGGAAATTCGGCATGTCCATAAGGACCCTCACCAACCTTTACAGATGCACTAGAGAAAGCATTCTATCTGGGTGCATAACAGCTTGGTATTGGCAACTGCTCTGCCCAAGACTGTAAGAAACTGCAGAAAGTTTGTGCACAGACCAGACCATTGTGTAAGCCAACCTCCAATCTATGGGCTCCATCTACACTTCTCATTGCCACGGAAAGGCAGATGACAACATTAAAGACCCCTCCCACCCCAGTTATACTCTCCCAATCTCTTCCATCAGGCAGATGATACAGAAGTTTAAACAAATGTTCCAACATGTTCAAGAACAGCTTCTTCCCTGTTGTTATCAGACTGCTGAATGGACCTCTCTAATTTCAATCTAATCTTGATCTTGCTTTTCTGCACCTCCTGTAATCTTGCAGCCGTACCCTTGTATGCCTCGCTCTGTCAGACACCATTTGATCTGTATGTCCTTGTATGGTATGATCTGCCTGTACTGCTCGCAAAACAAAACTTTTAGTGTACTTAGGTACATGTGACAACAAAATTCAAATCAAAGAAGGAAAGACTTGCATTTATATATCACTTCTCTCAACCTCAGAAAGTTCAACAATGCCCTTAAGCCACTGAAATACTTTTGAAACGTCAATACAGTGTGGAGCTGGAGGAACACAGCAGGTCAGACAGCATCAGAGGAGCGGAAAGTTGATGTTTGGGGTCAGAACACTGCATCAGGACTGGCATCTGTCATTAGGGTTCCCCAATGTCCACCTCACCCAATGCCCCATTTTCCACCTATGCACACAGGCTGCCCAACAGCTGGAAACTGCAGAATACTTTCAACAAAAAATATATATACTTTTCACCAGCCTCGGGCTCAAAATTCCATTTCTGTGTTAATTCTCCCCACTCAATAATGAGAGACGGTGAGCGAGTTAAGTGGGTGGGTTAAATGCAGCCAGTACAATGAAGCAGCAGGTTGAAAGAGGTGCTCTTACTGAGAAATGCTGGTGAGCGTATCCAGCTGCTATGCTGAAATCAGTGAAGTGTGACTGCAGCTCCAGTACATCAAATAAATTAAGGCGGATCAATGACTGAAGACCATCTAAAGGTGAATTTCTTTCTCTTTCTCCCCTGAAAACATCCTCCCCACAGCAGTCATAAAACACAGGATGCAACAAATGAATAAAGCACCTTGCCCTCCCCTAACTCCTGGATTTGGAAAAAAAGTGTCAGAAAATGATGATGTGAAACAGCATGATTTGCAGGATCTGCCCTTGCCCTTCAGAACCCCAGCATCCCTGTCCTCTGTTTGCACACAGTAAGGAACCAAACAGAGGCAAAATGCACTTGAATATTTCTCAGACAGTCATGCTGGTTGGCCTGTGGGTCTCTCTCTGACCTTGCTAACTGGGGCCGATTGCTGGTTCTCTCTTTACACTCGCATGCCAGGCACATTCGACTTCCCTAAAGGCAGAGTGGAACAGACAGTTTACTTACAATTTTTTTTTAATATACAGAGTACAGCACTTGCAAACAGATCTTGTAACTAAGTCTTTCAGTGGGTATAGCCGACTCTATCCTTTTGTATATTTATTTGGGTATGCATATGCCAGCCTAGCCCTGTGTGTGCATACATAATAATCACATTTTATTTATATACATATTTATGTTACGTTATTCTGTGTGCATGCGCACGCGCACGCGTTTCAGTGTGTGTGTGTGTGCATGTGTGTGTGTTTGTTTTGATGTGTACCTTTGCACATGTATTTTTGTGTGTAATTGTACATTTTGTTTGGTCAAGTCCAAGTTGTTTCGGGTTTTTGGAAGATTTTTCACTGTCAGGCCTAGTGTTTTTCTCATCCTTTCTTACCAAACTCACTTCATTAAGTACTTACCACGTCCCCGTGGTGTCACTCGTGTCCAATTTCCATCTTACCCTGCACCATTCCCAAAACAACTTGCCACACAAATACCAGCATCACTGTGCCCATGCCATTGCTAAGATGCCGCAGTGTACCCAGACAAGCAATGGCATTCTGAAGCTGCCCTACTTGGTGACAAGACAGAATAAGAACATGGCAGAGAAGGGGAAGTTGGGACCATGATTTTCCAACAGGGTCAAGGAGGGCAAGGTGGTACAAAGGAAGGACAACCTCATCCCAGAAGACCAAGGAGGAGGCCATGCCATCAGGTCCACGATGCAGAGAAATGACCAACAGTGCAGAAAGGTGGTCAAGGACTTTTGCAACTGCACCAGGGTAAGTGCCACACTCTTCTCTCTGCAAATACACACAATCTCTCTCTCTGCTTTGGTACCCAACTCCCATCAATGCTCATGACCCATCCCCCTCACTATTACCTACAACACATTCCCTCACCCATTCTTCCTACTCAGTCTCTCACCACCATCCTGCATGGCCTCCATGCTGCCTCTTCAGTTTCTCAGAACATCTTTCCACCTTTTTCTGCATATGAACCTCTCATTGTCATCTCATTACAAGGGAAAACAATCTATTACAGAGTAGAGACAGTCCGTATAGATGGGAGATGCGCTCAACATCTGCGTCCAACAGAGAACCATGACCCTTGCAGAAGACCAAGGCTACACCTGTGGTAACACTGTAACATCTATGTCCTGCCAAACGATTAAACACAACTCTCCATGTCACTGCCACATACCCATTAACCCCGCTGTCACCCTCACTTATTGAACACCACTTCCAACCCTGGGCATAACACCTTCTCTCTCTTTGGTCTTGCAGGTTCCACAAGCCACACAACAACATCTGTGGAGGAACCGTGCTCCTGAGGATGAGAATACCAAGGCCTCTGAGGAAGCATCAAGAAGACTGCCTCCTGCTCTCCCAAGCACAGATACGTTGGTGCAGAGTGTGTGGGTCCACAATCTGGTGAGCCAGCCAAGGAAGAAAAGGCCCAAGTACCTGGCACTCCGAGCACTGCCAGACAGGATCCATCTACTGAACCCCAGGTAAGAGAAGACTCTACAGTATTGGCAATCAGAGACTTTATCGAAATAGGAGGAGCAATAGACAGCAGACAGGATGTGACAGCTCTCATTGCCCAGACTGTCATTGCCCAGAAGCTGCTGTCTGGCTGTCTCCATGGACAGGGTGCTGGCTGCCAGGGAGGGTCAGATCCACACTCTCAGGGTCTGCTGGAAAGGTGTACACCCCTTGCATTCCAGTGGCCAACCAGTGGTCCTCAGGTCCACAGGTTGTTGCACCCTGCATTGCAATCTGTGCTTCCAGAGCACTGCTAGTACCCAGTGGAAGTGCCAGGATAGTCATGATGGACTGCAGATGGCAGATAGAAATGGCCATGGAGTGCCTTAGGCTGGTGCCCATGGATCACACCCTGAGATTTTGTCACCCGGTGTCCACAATGAAGATTGTTCAGATGAAGCGGTGAGGCTGAATCCACCAGGATTGGCGAGTTTGGGAAGTTTGGCTCAGAATATTAACAAGGCAACTTGGGGCTTTATCAAGGCATTTAACAGTCAATAATGAGCACCGATTGTCATCTCGCAGCTGCCGAATGAAAACCTCATCACGCTGCTTGTGAAAAGCATAAAAGTTGGATTGATCCCAATGTCTAGATGGGCCTCGCTGCCCTATTTTGCCACATATCTCGCCATACCATGTCATTCAGACCCCTGTAAGATTCCGTCCCATGCGTTTTTTGTGTCCACCTCATTTGGATCCCGTTTGTTTTTGTCCATCTCTCAATGCATTTATTAATATTTCTCTTTTTTCTTGCTTGCTTTCTTTATGTTCTTTTCTATGTCTCACTCTTTTTCCATTTATCTGTCTCACTGCCCATTTTATATTCATCTCTGTCTCTTCCTGTTCTTGCCGTCTGTATAAACACGAGCCCTTATTCTCTGCTGCTTACTCTTAATGATTCAATGGCTAATTTTCAGCATTCATCGTGTTAAAGAGAGAGCTTCACGGTCATTTCTGTGACACCAACACATCATTTGACCCACTCGTGGCATTAAAAATAATTATATGATAAATACTCTGGACTGTTTTAATTAAAAGTGTCAAAATTAAAAATATCATTGAAGATCTTAAAACATAATTATGATAAATACTCTGAAGTGTGAAGATTGACAACAGTGGGATGGATGTATTTTATGTAAGTGTATGTGTGATGTGCATGTGGTGTGTGAATTGCGTGTGATAGGCACATTGGGTTATGCATGTGTGGTGTGTGGCTATGATATGCGCATGAGAGTGTGCTGGAGGCTGGTAAGAAAGTAATTTGACATTCCTCCATTCTTACAGAAGAATGAAGAAGATTGAGTGCAAGGCTCCACTTTACCTCTTTGCCAAGATCTTCCTCGATGACCTGGTGAATTTCCTGCAGACTGCTCTGTGGGGCTTTACTGTGCAGGATCTTCAACGTGCTGGTGTACTCCTCCGGTAGCAGATAGTCCAAACCACCTAGATGCTGGCCCACTTTGATGAACGTGCCCCTGTTGGCACAGCAGAGGTCCAGCAAATGTTGAGCAGAGCGACGATGGACCTTGGTGGGGGAGAAGCACAAAGAAAGTTCCGGCAGTCTGAAATCTCAAAGGCATGGCTCTCTCATTGAAAACATGCTGAAGTCATGGGAATCATCAAACGTCAGTGATAAATTATGACCGAAACCATCCAACACGCAAACGCACACAAAGAATCATAGGACGATTAGAAGACAGAAAGAAGCCATTGTAACTGGCGAGGGTATGCTGGCCCTCTGCATGAGCCACTCACTAAGTCCCGCACCCTCTCCTTGTCCTACAACCCAACAACTCTTCTCCCTTCAAGTGTTTATTCAAATCCCTTTGCAAAATCATGATTGGATTTCCTTCTACTATCCTCAGAGGTAATGTATTGCAGACTACAATCATCCCTTGTGTAAAAATGGTTTTCCTTCACCAATTACCCTAAATCAGCCTCCTCTGGTTCTCAATCCTCGGCCAACAGGTTCTCTGTAACTGTTCTGGCCACCCCATCAGTCAAATCACTCCTCAACCTTCTCTTCTACAAGGACAGCAGCCACAGTTTCTCCAACCTGCTCTTGTAGCTCAAGTCCTTCATCCCTGGAACTATTCTCCTAAGTCTTTCCTGCACCCCCACCCTAATGCTTTCACAATCCCTGTAAAAGTGCTAAGCAATGGACATAACATTCCAGATGAGGTCAAAACACAGAGTTAATGAAGGTTCATCATAAATTTCTAGATTCTTGATCAGTTGGGGAACCAGAAGATACAGGAAAAGGGCAGGAAATTGGACGTGAGGGATGTCCGATCAGCTAAGATCCTACTGAATGGCAGAGCGGGCTTGAAGGGCTGAATGGCCTATTCCTGTTCTTGTTTCTTGTGGTCTTATGGACTAATGGTACTTGCTTTTGTATTCCATGCCCCTATTTCTAAAGCCCACAATCCCAAGTACTTTTTTTAGCCAGTTTCTCAACCTGCTCTGCCACTTCCAACAAATTCTACACCTATACCATTGCCTCACTCCTTATCATCCAATAGAAGACAGTGGATTCTCCACCCTCTTGAAGAAATTAGTGAAGATCAGCAATAAACACCAGGCTTACCAGGGAATTTAAGAATAAAATTGTCAAGCCCATTATCATGTCACTGGTCCCCATGCAACTTAGCTTACTTTTTGGAAAAGCAGTAACTTTTAGCATGGCAAATGCAACAGCCATTTTCTATCAGAGACAGGCTGGCATACAGCAAGCTAAAACAAGAAGTATCTCATTTCATTTCAGTTGGCCATTGGTAGGGGAGGAACGTTGGCCTGGGCCTTCTCAAAATAAATTAAGTATTGCAGGTACTCAAAATCCGAACTGAAACAGAAAACACCCAGCAAGCCTGACAACATTGTTGGAGGGGGCAATAAAGGTTCATCATGTGTTATTATTACTTGGGACCTTAGGTGGAGGAAAAGTGGATGTTTGTTTTTAATTCAAATGCTCTTTTTTTAATAAAAGGTCATAAAGTCATTTCTGAACAGTGAATTTGAAACAGCAGTTCTGAGAAGTCACATGGTTTTCACTAATTGACTAGCAAGTCACCACAGGGATAATCATTAAGGTGTTTGTTGACTTGAGTTTTACAACCCAAAGGGAAAGACAGAGGGAAAGAAAGATAGGGAGGTTGCCAGAAAAAGGATCATTCAGAGAGAAGTGATGCTGTTATCAGTAGTTTCCAAGCAGTCAGGGCTGGAGAGCAATACTGAAGTTCTCAGAGGTCAGTGGAAAGAAAATTACTGAACAAAAGCTGTAGAGGTATCAGAGAAGAAGACATTCTATAGGGCTTTTGAAGAAATGAGCTTAGGAACCCACATTAAGGACTAAGTGAGCTGTGTTAGCAGTTTGAACGAAGAAAAAAGCGTCAAGTGAATGCAGAACAGATATCTGTCAAAAAGAAACTGCTAAAAACCCAGCAGGAAACTTTAACATGGAGTTGGCATGACTCTTCATTGTGGTTTGAGGTCTTTAAAGTTATTGCTGGGGGTAAAATGGATGAATATTTCTTTCTGCTATTGGCAAGGAGATTGTTCCAATAGTTCTCAATGTGTGTAATACAGTTTTTCTTTTGTGCAATAAACTTTTTACGTTATTTTGTTAAAAGTACATTAGCAGTCTCTTGTGAATATGTTCAGTGACTGACCTCCATGGTAAAATAACAGAAAAACAAAATTCATTGTTTATTCAGGTTTCACCCTGGGATCTGACTCACCATTAACTGGGATCATCATAATGAAGAGATAACTTTTCAAGTCGATAGTTTTCATTAGAACTGGAATAAGTCAGAGATGTGACAGGTTTTGTTTTAAAGCAAGTACAGAGCCAGGGAAAGAGAGGGGAAAAGAAAATTAAATTGTATTTGATAGGATTGGCCATAGAGATTAAATGACAAAATGGATGACAGTGAGGGATAGAAGTGGTAGTAACAGGATAGGTATGAAACAAAAGATGTGTTGAGAAACAGATAAAGTTGGCGACAGAAGAACCATTACAAGTTCCTGCTTATGAAAAAAATTGGAATATTGATTATTATCTGAAATTATTTCCAGGCTCTTCAGGTCTTGGCTTGGGATCTTCACCAACCACCCAAGAAATCAAATCGGATTTCAATGTTACAATTCACCCAAAACCTTATGTGTGCTCACGGCACAAATGCAATCCCTGCCAGCAGATGCTACAAACTAAAACTTCAATCACTTGTGTGTGAAGGAATTGCAAAATGTCTCATTTACCACAATTTGTGTGGGCATTACATATGAGTGCCCACCATCTTCTCCTATTAATTGACAGACAACAAACAGAACATGGCAGGACCATAATCTTCAGGTTAAATTAATAATTGGATTTATGAATAAATGGTAGAAGCAGAACAGACATATTCAACTTAAATACATATATTGTTTTGTAAGAATAGAAAGCCCTGTAGCTTCAGTAGTTCTTTTCTAGAACTTTTGGTCTGTGCTTCTGACGAATTCATAGAATCCCTACAATGTGGAAGCAGGCCATTTCGCCCATCAAGTCTAAACCAAACCTCTGAAATGCATCCCACCCAGACCCATCCTTGTAATTCCACATTTCCCATGGCTAAACCACCTAGCCTGCACACACCTGGACACTTTAGCATGGCCAATCCATGTAACCACCACATCTTTGCATTGTGGAGGGAACCCGCACAGACATGGGGATAATACGCAAACTCCACACAGTCAACTAAACCTGGGCCTTTGGTGCTGTGAGGCAGCAGCGTTAACCACTGAGCCGGCCATGTAAAGACCCATCTGAACTCCTACCAGATTCGTTTGTCAAGCCACATTTGAATTGGAAGAACAAAGCCTGGAACTAGAAAAAAACTTCGACAGTTGTCTCGATATGATCCATAATTTTCTTTCAATTGATGGCAAGTTCATTTTAAGAAATTATTTATTTAAATATCCTTTTTAAATATCATTTTAAAAATGGATATCTTTTCTCAACATCAAGCAATCAAGATATTAATAGTTTCTAACACTTAAGGACATAAAGCGTGAATGATAGTCTCCTGGCTGCCCATTGACTCATTTGCACTTAATATTGCACCAGAGCATAAGTCGATATAATTACTTGAGATGATTCTGAAAATTCTAATCACATTTGCATTTCAAAGAAACAATATCTGGCACAATTAACATTCCCTTTTGAAACCCAAATGGGGCCTGGGTTTTGATCTGTTTTCTTGCTTCTCTCAGGAGGTCCAATCTCAGGTGAGGTACAGACTGTCAGTATTCTGTTACACAAAGTATGACAATTGCTGGGGACAGGCCAGAGGCTCTATTCCTGTCTGTCAATGGTTATAGGTTCAAATGAAGGAACTCATTCTGTTATATGTCAGCCGTGGCTCAGCTGATAGCACACCCACCACTTGTTACCAACTTCATGCACCTCTCTAAGGATTGAGCTGACAACTGATGTCCTGAAGGAGTGCTGCATTGTGGGAGCTGCCATCTTTTGATTGAGTTACTGAATGAAAGTCCTATATGCCTGCTCATGCTTGTTCCCAGGGCACTATTTAGAAGAAGGTACGAGGTGGTAATGTCACTGGACTAGCAATTCAGAGGCCTGCGGCAGCTAGTGAAATTTGAATTCAATGAATAGTATCTGTTGTTGAATGTTAGTGTCAGTAATGGTAACCATTAAAAGCCCATCTGGCTCGCTAATGTCCTTTAGGGAAGGAAATCAGACACCCAGTCTTAGACTCCAGACCCACAGCAATGTAGTTGACTCTTAACTGCCCTCTGAAATTATCAAGCAATCCACTCAGCTTGAGGACATTTGAAGATGGACAACAAATGCTGGTTGCACCAGCAACACCTGCACCCCATGAAAGAATGATTATTAAAAATGATGGATGTTGCCCTGGCATCCTAGCCAGTATTTATCCTTCAGCTGACATTGCATAAACAGATGAGCTAGTCACTATCATGTTGCTGTTTGTGAGGTCTTGCGATGCTGCTGCATTTCCTGCATGAAAACAGTGTCTACACTTCAAAAGTCATTTATTGGCACTTTGGGGATGTCTGGTGCTCCTAAAGAATGCTATGTGGCTGTCAAACTTTGTGTTATTCGACCCCAGAGAAATGTAAATCCAACAGTTATTATAACCAGGACTAAACCAGAAGTGTTCCTTGGGGTTGGTAACATAAGTAATGGCACCCCAACATCTAGATCACTTATACAGGTGAGGAAGAGGGCAGCAATGTGCAACAAAACAGTACACAAGGCAGTACACAACACAATTCCAGTAGTGTTTAACAAGCCATTGAACAAAGGCAGTGCCTGGAGTAATCTTCTTGGAGGTTGAAGGTGACTATGAATCTAAGCAGAATTTCGAGCACAAAGTCTAAACGTGAAACAATGACCACATTATGACAGATTGCTGCCAAATGAAAGAACAGAGATAGAGGTGGTGAATAAATGGGAGTGTGAGAGGACCGTTGAAAAGGGGATACGTCATTAAAAGACAG